TGCGCCCGCGGTTTGTCCAGATATCCAGGTGCCTGCGGCGCGCACCGCCAATGCCAAAGCAGCTGCCCCCCCCGCCCCGGTCGTCCATAATCATTATAGTCACCACGGTTTTTCTTTGACGCAGTGGCAGGGCCACGCGCGCCTAGACGCGCGCCTGTTGCAGTTGCTCCTGTTCATGGTCCTCCTCCTTTGACGGGCCACGAGTCTCCCCAAATCGTCCCCTTGTTGCATATGCAGTTACCGCAGACATGTGTAATCGATCCCGCATCGCACCATATCTTCTGAGTCCACATCCAGCGGCGCAAGTTTGAGCAAAGTTTCTCGTCATTCGGCCGCCCAGGGCGGCGACCTCAGAGCGGGGAGGGAAAATAACGAATTACCCAACACACACAACGATGGACTGCACAGGCGCGTGCTGCAGTAGTTTCGCGGAGCTGCTAGACACAAACTTGAAACATGATGGACCCACGAACCCGGAAAGGGATATAGACATGTGGAGCATGGGCACGTTTTCACGATACCCAACGGGGCAACACCTCACGAAACATCCCACGAGACACCTCACGAAACATCCCACGAGACACCTCACGAAACATTCCGCGAGACACCTCACGAAACATTCCACGAGACACCCCGCGAAACATTCCACGAGACACCCCACGAAACATTCCACGACGACAGGCAACCACTCAACCAAGGCGGTGTGGTCGTGCTGGGGAGCGGTCGTGCTGGGGAGTGGTCGTGCTGGGGGGTGGTCGTGCTGGGGCGTGGTCGTGCTGGGGGGGTGGTCGTGCTGGGGGGTGGTTGTGCTGGGGCGTGGTCGTGCTGGGGCGTGGTCGTGCTGGGGCGTGGTCGTGCGTGGTCGTGCTGGGGTGTGGTCGTGCTGTGGTGAGGTCGTGCTGGGGTGTGGTCTTGCTGGGGTGTGGTCTTGCTAGGGTGGGGTCGTGCTGGGGTGGGGTCGTGCTGGGGTGTGGTCGTGCTGGGGTGTGGTCGTGCTGGGGTGGGGTCGTGCTGGGGTGTGGTCGTGGTCGTGCTGGGGTGTGGTCGTGCTGGGGTGTGGTCGTGCTGGGGTGGGGTCGTGCTGGGGTGTGGTCGTGCTGGGGTGTGGTCGTGCTGGGGCGTGGTCGTGCTGGGGTGGGGTCGTGCTGGGGTGGGGTCGTGCTGGGGTGTGGTCGTGCTGGGGTGGTCCGCACCCTGTGATTCATCGATCGGGTCGTGCTGGGGTGTGGTCGTGGTGGGGTGTGATCGTGGTGGGGTGTGGTCGTGTTGGGGTGTGGTCGTGCTGGGGTGTGGTCGTGCTGGGGTGTGGTCGCGCTGGGGTGTGGTCGCTCTGGGGCGTGGTCGTGCTGGGGTGTGGTCGTGCTGGGGTGTGGTCGTGCTGAGGTGTCCCGCACCCTGTGATTTATCGATCGGGATTTCAAAAACAAGCGTTTCGCCTGAGACATCCTCAAATTTTAATCCGCCGGCCTCCTTCGACTTCGATATTTATCAAGGAAAGAATCCGCCGGCCTTCTTCAAGTTGGGCAGGGGGGGATATGTTTACATAGGAAAAGAGAACCCTGGGCCTATGCCCTTTCCGGGAAAATACAACAACTTAAACAAGTGCCCTTTTGCACGCGCCCTTGCTTCTGCCGATAAGGAGGGTAGGGGGGGCACGATAGCTTGCTCGGCGCGGCGCCGAGTTGTCAAACCCTTCACATGCCGCGGACTCGGCGCGGGCCAGCCTGCAAACGCAGCACGTTTCACATGTGACGGACTCGGCGCGAACCTGGGGATGCCTTCGTGGGCGGCGGCCCCAGCAGCGTGCAGTAGCAACGGTAATTGGTGGGACAAAACATGTTGGCTCTTTCGGTTCGAGACGCAACCTCTAGTTCCAACTAGCCCAACAAAAGACACCCGCGCGCTTAAAGGCCGAGCTCGGGCTGCATGTGAAGAGGCACGGAGAAGGCTCAAACGCCCTTGGCTCGTACCGCCTACTGCAGGGCAGAGTGGGAAGGAGGATCAAGCGCCACTTGCCCTGGCACCCCTGAGCGAAGGCCGCGTTGCGCGTAATCATACCTTCCAATGGCGGGCGCGCCAAGCTGCTAGTTTGACACCGAAACTATTTGAAACGCGCGCGCGGCCATTTTCAAAACCACCATGAAGCATTTTCAACTTCAGCACCGCGCGGCCCGCAAGCGGCCTAGAACCATGAGAAAACCATTTTCATCATTCTTAATCTGATCCCCGACATGCCCGTGACCCTATCCACCCCCGGCCCCCCGGGACACCCGGCGCGCGACACGCAGATTTTGCGTGTCCGCCCCCCTGGTGGGGCCCGCGTGACACGCAGATTCCGCGTGTCCCCACCTCGGCCCCCAGACCCCCGGCATGCGACACGTTGGGCCCGCGTGACACGCAGATTCTACGTGTCCCCACCCCAGCCTCCTGGACACCCGGCGCGCGACACGCAGATTTTGCATGTCCGCCCCCCTGGTGGGGCCCGCGTGACACGCAGATTCTGCGTGTCCCCACCCCGGCCCCCGGACCCCCGGCGTGCGACACGCAGATTTTGGGCCCGCGTGACACGCAGATTCTGCGTGTCCCCATCCCGGCCCCCAGGACCCCTGGCGTGCGACACGCAGATTTTGCGTGTCCGCCCCCCTGGTGGGGCCCTCGTGACACGCAGATTCTGCGTGTCCCCACCCCGGCCCCCGGACCCCCGGCGCGCGACGCGCAGATTTTGAGCCCGTGTGACACGCAGATTCTGCGTGCCCCTGCGCGTTCTCGAAGCACGCAGATTCTGCATGTCCCGGCCCTGGCCCCCGGCCTCTGGACCTCCGGGAGCGCCACGGTCCCCGGCCCTTGGCCCCCACCTGCTGGGGCCCGCGTGACACGCAGATTCTGCGTGTCCCCACCCCGGCCCCCGGACCCGGCGTGCGACACGCAGATTTTGGGCCCGCGTGGCCCATCCCCCGGCCCCCGGGACACCCGGCGCGCGACACGCAGATTTTCATGTCCGCCTCCCTGGTGGGGCCCGCGTGACACGCAGAGTCCGTATCCCCACCCCAGCCTCCGGGACCCCCGGCGTGCCACGCGCAGATTTTGCGTGTCCGCCCCCCTGGTGGGGCCCGCGTGACACGCAGATTCTGCGTGTCCCCACCCCAGCCCCCGGACCCCCAGCGTGCGACACGCAGATTTTGGGGCCGCCGGACGCGCAGATTTTGCGTGTCCGCCCCCCTGGTGGGGCCCGCGTGACACGCAGATTCTGCGTGTCCCCACCCCGGCCCCCGGACCCGGCGTGCGACACGCAGGCCGCGTGACACGCAGATTCTGCGTGCCCCCACCCCGGCCTCAGGGACACCCGGCGAGCGACACGCAGATTTTGCGTGTCCGCCCCCCTGGTGGGGCCCGCGTGACAGGCAGATTCTGCGTGTCCCCACCCCGGCCCCTGGACCCCTGGCGTGCGACACGCAGATTTTTGGGCCGCCGGACGCGCAGATTTTGCGTGTCCCCACCCCGGCCCCCAGGACCCCTGGCGTGCGACACGCAAATTCTGCGTGACCGTCCCCTGGTGGGGCCCGCGTGACACGCAGATTCTGCGTGTCCCCACCCCGGCTTCGGCGTGCGACACGCAGATTTTGCGTGTCCGCCCCCCTGGTGGGGCCCGCGTGACGCAGAGTCTGCGTGTCCGCCCCCCTGGTGGGGCCCGCGTGACACGCAGATTCTGCGTGTCCCCACCCCGTCCCCCGGACCCCCGGCGTGACGCCTCCGTGACACGCAAATTCTGCGTGCCCCTGCGCGGCGTTCTCGAGGTGACACGCAGATTCTGCATGTCCCGGCCCTGGCCCCCGGCCTCTGGACCTCGGGGAGCGCCACGGTCCCCGGCCCTTGGCCCCACCTGGTGGGGCCCGCGTGACACGCAGATTCTGCGTGTCCCGACCCCGGCCCCCGGGACACCCGGAGTGCGACACGCAGATTGGTCCGCGTGACACGCAGATTCTGCGTGTCCCCACCCCGGCCCCTGGACCCACGGCGTGCGACACTCAGCGTGACACGCAGATTCTGCGTGTCCCCACCCCGGCCCCCGGACCCCCGGCGTGCGACGCGCAGATTTTGCGTGTCCGTCCCCCTTGTGGGGCCCGCGTGACACGCAGATTCTGCGTGTCCCCACCCCGGCCCCCGGACCCCCGGCGTGCGACACGCAGATTTTGGGCCCGCGTGACACGCAGATTCTGCGTGTCCCCACCCTGGCCCCCAGGACCCGTGGCGTGCGACACGCAGATTTTGCGTGACCGCCCCCCTTGTGGGGCCCGCGTGACGCGCAGATTCTGCGTGTCCCCACCCCGGCCCCTAGACCCCCGGCGTGCGACACGCAGATTTTGCGTGTCCGCCCCCCTGATTCTGCGTGTCCCGCCCCAGGCGCGCTCCGTGTGACACGCAGATGTTGCGTGTCACGTGTGCGCGACACGCAGGATTTGCGCGTCACGTCTACGCGTGCCCGATCAAGGCTGGCGCGCCCCAGATCCAGACTCGGGCGCGCGCTCGAATGCATTTGCCCTGGGGCCTCCGGGGCCTAACAAGCGCGTTCATTTCTAATTCCGGTCATTTGCAATTCCGGCCACGAATTAGAAATGACGCTCGCCGAAGGGGCGGCGGAGGCCACGTGCAGCACACGAATTAGAAATGAGCACTCTGTAGTAGTAGTAGTAGTAGTAGTAGTAGTAGTAGTAGTAGTAGTAGTAGTAGTAGTAGTAGTAGTAGTAGTAGTAATAATAGTAATAATAATACGAATAACAATAACACGATTAATATTCAGAATAATGATAATAATAAAAGCAATACACATAAAACATACTAATAATAGTAATACGAATAAGAATAAACATCATAATAGTAATAATTCTGATGATACGAATGCGAAGAATAGTACTAGTAATTCTACGAATGAAAATGATACGAATGATACAACAAATAATAAGAAGAAGGAGGCGGAGAAGGAGGGGGAGGGCGACGAGGAGGGGGAGGAAGATGAGGAAGAAGCCGCCTACGACGACGCCGACGCCGACGACGGCGTCGGCAACACCCTCAGACCGTGCACCGGCAAGCCCACGGGGCGGGCTCAATCCGTGGCCGAGGGGCCCGGCTTCTCGCCGTCCGCGATACCGGCATCCCTAACCTTGATGCTGGTGACCTCAAGGGGGAGGACATGGGGAGCCTGATGTTCCTCGAGGGGGGGACGGGGAGGAGGAGGGGGAGAAGGAGGAGGAGGAGACGGCGGAGGAGGAGGAGGAGGATGAATAGGAATAGGACGGGGAGGAGGGAGGAGGAGGAGGAGGAGGAGGAGGAGGAGGAGGAGGACGAGGGGGAGGGGGAGGGGGAGGAGGAAAAGGAAGAGGAGGAGGAAGAAGAGGAGGATGAGGAGGCGGAAGAGGAGGAGGAGGAGGGTTGAGGCAGAGGAAAGGATTGAGTCTTGAAGAGGGACAAGAATGCAGGATGCAGGAGATGTAGCGAGGCGCAAGGAAGGAGGAAAAGGATGAGGAGAGAATACGCGGGGGGACGAGGATGAGAAGGGGGCGGGGAAACAAAGGAATGGGGGAGAACGATGGTAGAGGGCGACGGCGGAGGATTAAGGGATGAGGGGAAACGAAACGAGGATGGCGACGAGAAAGATGAGCGCTAGAGTGAACCCGACACGCGCCAGTAACGCTGCAACAGGCCCTCCCGCCCCAAGCCACCTCCTCGCGAGTCAGCGAGCATCTACCTCTGGCCACTCTGGCGGACGCGCGCGGGAACACTAAGTGCGCCGTGGACGTTCCACAGCAAAGCGCGCAATGCAACGTCCGATCGAGCAGCTCTGGGCGCGGATCGCCCCACGAATGAGGCGGACATACACAATGACTACTACACATGCAAAACAAACGCACCGCTCCAACTCGTTCAAAATTACGTGTGGCTGTTGGTCATAAGCTGCAGATGCTCTCCCTCGAGGGCATTCCATGTAAAACTCTTGCCTTGTCGCAATGCTTCCTGCAACAAAAACCCTTTCGTCGACAAAAACTGGCGTACATAACCAGTGCATCTCGTCCTGGGTCTGCCCCGGCGTCTGGGGCCGTCATGTATCCATCGCATGACACTTGCTGGCCACGAACCAGGAACGCACAGACACGACATCAACGGCCATCGAGCTCTATCTACTACTCCCGTCCATTCAGAAACAGCGAACATACTCATTGCCCGCTCCTGAGCCAGGTCGTGTAAGGTGTGTGGTGTGGGCTATGTGTTGAAAGCCGAGCTGTGCAAAGTATGTGACGTGAGCTATGTTGTGTAAGCCACGTGGTGCGAGGTATGTGGTGCGACCTGCGCGTTGCAAGCTGTGTGGTGCAAACAATGCCACGCAAGCGATGTGGTGCAAGCTGTGTGGTGTGAGCGCGCGGTGCGCCCACGGGGCGCCCACCAGCGGGCACCGGCGCCAACGAGGCGAGACTTCGGGAAGCCCGCCCAGCGCACGGGGCGCCCACGAGGCGCACACGAGCGGGCACGGACGCCAACGCTGCGACAGCCCGGGAAATCCATCCGAATTGTTCAGGGCGCGCAGTTAGATCCCCGAAGTGCGAACACTGCTTGGGAACAAGAAGTAGACGCTGAATCCCACCAGCTATATAGGGCGTAAGTGGTCTGAGGCGTTTCTTCTTCCAACCTCCTTCCCCCCCTACGGAGAGGCACCATCTCCCGGGGTCTGGGGGGGTGACAAGCGATCGGAGCGGCCAAGATCGCCCAAGATCGCCTCAAGAGGGCACCCGATAGCCCAAGATACCTCCCACGCTGGCTTAAGGCATCCAAAATTGCCAAAGATGGTCTCTAATATGTCTCCAAGACGCTCCGAGACTGCTCCAAGACGGCCTTAAGTGGCCACGGAGCCTCCCAAGAACGCCCCTGAGAGGCCAGCATCCTTCCCAAACCCAAGAAACGCACATGTGTTTGCATTGTCGCCGCTTCCCATAAGGGCCCCAAGGGAGGCCCGATATGGCCCCAAGGCGAAGTGGCGAAAACCTCAAATTCCACCAACTGGAGGGACATCAATGTTGTTGGCTTCTTCGGGGCCTCTTGGGGGTCCTCTTGGGGGTCCTCTTGAGGCTCTTTTGGGCCGTCCTGTGGCCCTTCTGGGCCGTCTGAGGGTGCTTAGGCGTCTTGAAGCTCTCTTGGGGAGCTCTTGAAATTCTTTTGGGGTTCTCTTGGGGCCCTCTCGGGGCTCACCCGAGCCGTCTTGGCGCTTTCTTTGGCCGTTTTGGGCTCCTCTTGTGGCTCTCTTGGGCCTTCTCGGGGCTTTCTTGCAAGCTTCTTGGGCCGTCTTTGTGCGGCTTGTGGCGCTCCTTGAACCGTCTTGGGCCATCGGAAGCCCGCAACGGCGAGAAACGCAAGCTCCTTCAAAAACCCACAGGAAATTGACGACGATAGCACCCCAGAGCCGTCTTGGAGGGCCTCCTGGAACACTCGCGGAGCGTCTTGGAAGTAATGTGGGCCGCTGGAGGCGCCGAGTGAGCCGTCTGAAACGTCTGAAGGCCGTCTTGGGGCGATTCGAGGTCGCCGTGGATCTTCTTGGCGGCTGTCTGATCGCCCTGGGCGTTGATCTGGGGTTCCCGAAGCGTGCGCGGGGAACCACGGTGCACTCATTTTTGTGATCGGGGGCCCAGTAGACCCCAGACCCGGTCCCTCGCTATATGTAGATGAATATACAGAGGCTTCAGTGCATATTGCAGATCCCACACGCGCATGAACCTCGCTTATTCAAACATGCGGCTTGAAGATTGAGGGATGGATATCGCAGGGAACTTACGCACAGGCTTACCCAGGCAGGCTGCGTGAATACTGAAGACCTGGAACGGCAACGCACGTAGGCACACGATTGCTCAAACACGCGGCTTGGACATTCGTTGAGGAATGCAGTGGGAGATGATGCAAGGGACTCTTCAGACTTGAGGTTCAGATCGCATGCTTGAATCGTGCTGAGGCGGGAAACGAGGAGAGAGGGCGAAAACGAGAAAGAGGGAGGATATATGAGGGGAAAGCGAAAGATGACGGAGAAGGAGGTGCCTCCTCCCTCCAGCCTCCCATGAATCCTCAGTAGTCGCTCCCTCCCGCCTCGTTCTCCTTCCTCCTCCCCCTCCTCCTGCTCCTCCCCCCTCCTCCTCGCCCTCCTCCTCCTGCCCCTCCCCCTCCTCCTCCTCCTCCTCCTCCTCCTCCTCCTCCTCCTCCTCCCTCCTGCCCCTCCCCCTCCTCCTCCTCCTTCTCCTCCTCCTCCTCCTCCTCCTGCTCCTCCTCCTCCTCCGACTCCTCGGACTCCTCCTCCTCCTCCTCCTCCTCCTCCTCCTCCTCCTCCTCCTCCTCCTCCTCCTCCTCCCTCTCCTGGCACGTCGCCGAGGCGCGCCGCGCAGTCATTCGTCGCCCGCGCTTGCTGCACGGAGACGGGCGGGCGATGCCCTGCCCAGGTGGCTGAAGCTCGAAAGTGCTGGCACCACTGAACGAAGAGGATGGACCGGCTAGGGTCAGGTCGGGCATGTCCTCCTACAGGCGGATTTTGGACGAGAAATGAAAGATACCCAGAACATACCCCCAAAACTTATTTAGAAACATAAGCAACAAATCCCCCGACTACTTCTACTTCTGAATATTCCCCCTGTAGAGGGACAGGCCCGACTGCAGGCCAGGGAAGCACTTGCGGCGGTGGCAGCACTGAACAACAAGAGGCCAGCCACCGCAGGCTCCAACTCGCGGCGGCACGGCGAGCGGAGGGCCAAGCCGAGCGATGGGAGACTCAAAGGACGGGAGCGGATGCATGGCTAGAGCGAGGCTGCACTGAAACGCTGGGCGGGCGACCCAATACAGTGGAGGCCCGACCACAAGAAACCTTCCACAAGAAACCCAACCCTGAGACCCCAGGACGTCCGTTGGTTTTAGGTGTGGGAACGTCACGCTTTCCATCGCAAAACCATCGCAACCAAAGAAACCCAGGTCACTCTAGAGTCAAGCAGGGTGTTTCTTGGCATGGGCTTCCACTGTAGTGAAGACGTGTGTCAGGGCCACCGCGTCCCATCGTGCATCCTTTTTGGGCGCCGTTGTGCGTACGAGCCGATATGAGCCAAGCTCCTGCGAATGTCCTCAAGGCGGTCGTGCTGAATCCTATCGGAAGAGAAGCGAGACCACTGCGAACTTCACGCCACGAAATCGCCTGGGTTTCCCCCAAAAAACGTCCGGGGAACCACGCCAGGGAACGGGAGGGGGACGACGAAGGAAGGGGATCGGGGAAAAGCGACGGCCGCAAAACGGCCGAAATAACAGCTTGGACGTTGGGTTTCGGGCGCCGGGGCTCCGAATTCAGAGGCCCAGACGGTCGCGAGCAGTCGTGCGCCGCCAGAAGAGCAGCCGCCCCCGCGGCAGCAGACTTAGGATCACCACTGGAGCCAGAGGCCCCTCGTGCAATATTGGGGACCAAGGGCGCCTCCTTCCACCGAGATGAGCGGAGTTCACCTGCGCCGACCCGACTTCCTGCTGGCGGAGATCATCCAGAGCAGCATTCTGAAGCTTTGGAAAAAAAAACGCCTTCCCACTTTGGGGGGGGAGGTATTGAAGGCCACCATCGTCAAGGACACGATAGATAGCACGGCAATGGTGTTGACTGCAGGGCCACCCCAAGAGGCCAAGCAGCGCGAGGGAAGGAGCAATGAGGGGCACAGAAATGAAGGGGCCCTGGGACACACAAATAAGCTTATTCCCTATATTTTACAATATTTTCAGGGTTTTGGTTTTCCCCCCACTTCCCATATTTTCCCAGATTTTCAAGGGAATCGCCGATTAATTGTGTCTGTGTGTTTCTTTCCCTCTTGAAGAAAAGAGAGACGACGAGGGCGCGTTCGGACCGAGTCAGCCGAGCAAGGCCCGAAAGGGGAACGGGAAGGAACTGGGCTACATAGCCAAGCGTGGGCGCCGCATGCTTGTTGTATAAATGTTGAGTGACAGCTGTTCGTGGCCTGGCCCGAAGGACCAAGCCGGGGCGAGTCAAAAACGGCGCAATCTGGAACGCCGCCCCGTAAGGGGGGTAGCTCCTGCATCCGCTGTTCGATGGCGCCAGCGAGCCCCCTCGAGAACTCTCCGCCAGTGGGGGCAATGAAGCGCCCCGCAACTGCAAACGCGAACGCGAGACCTGCGCAGGGCGACGGCTCAGATCGAATGGCCGCCACAGCCGGCGAAGCCGATGGGGGGCGCGACGATCAGCGCCAGCGTCGTCTGCGCGAGCACGAGCGATTCCCCGAGAGGCGGGCGCCAGGGCGTTGTCTAGGTCGGCGAGGAACGGGTTCGACGCGATGGCGTAGATCATCCCTGAGGCTGGTCATCCTTGAACGACGCCACTCTCGATCAAGAAAGCAAAGCAGAGCTCGTTTTCAGCGCGGATGAAACACCTCGCGTGGCGGTGGAGGCACATCGGGAAGTGGGGCAGCAGGGTCGGGATCTGCATGCACCGCAAGCGCATCAAAAGCCAGTCGTGCGCGATCGATGGGAAGGCCCGACCGTAGTCGAAGCTGACAGGGGCGGGCTGGGGGTATATGGCTACGTTCGAATTTGTTGCCTGCAGGCTGCAATCCTAGAGCGCGCGCCTGATTCAAGTATGTTCGGGGCCCCCGCGAAGCCGCGCTGAATGAAAATAAAGGGCGCGTCCGAAGCTTCACTGAGCTCGCGGCTCGCCGCGCCAGCCAGTTGTTCACAATGTTCTTCATGCAGACCTAGTGGGCGAATCCGGGCGGGGCCTCTATGGATCTCTACGCCGTCGGAGGCGCCCAGGCCCTAGGGGAAGAACACCTTGCGGAGGTCACTGGAGGGGGCCATGGGGAGGTTCCCATTGGAGATCCACCAAAGCACCCCGTCGAGCGCGACGCGCCCGCCTGGGCGCCCTTGCCGCGCAGCAAACGGTGGCCCGCATGGGCCGGGGGCAGACTGATCAAGTCCCTGGACGCATTTCTTCGCCGCGGCGTGGGTCGGCGGGGGCAAGTCCAGGAGGTCGGGGGCCGCGCCGAACTTCTCGAGGCATCTCTGGGCACCCGCGGAGTCAATCTGCTTCGCTTCGAAAACGGAGGACCAATGCTGGGAGAGGATCTGCGTCACTTTGCCACGCTCCGCGCAGATCCCATCCGTCGAGCGCACGCCGCGGAGGGCGGACCTCTTGTCGAATGGACTGAGCTGTTCCGCAGCGCGCAATCGTCGCCTGAGCTTCCACGCCAGCCTGGCTGAGGGCTTCCAGGACAGGCCCTGATCTCAGCCTGTTCGCGCTCAGCCACGCGCCGGTGGAGCTCTGGCGATTCTTGCAAGAATTCGAAAACGTGCCAGAGGTGGGCCGCGCCCGTTGGGACGTCGATGTCCAAGTAGTCTTTGCTGAGCCAGTATGCGCGACGCTCTGAGTCGCTGTGCTGGAACCACATCCTGTCTCCAAGCCGCTCTGCATATGCTCTTGACTATAAAAAGCTTGGCGTCTAGCGTCTCGGGGCGCTTCGCAATCGTAGCATTCCACGCTACTCTGACCGCCCACCTCACGATCCTCGACTGGCACTGGAGCAGAATCGGGGGGCAGAGAAGCCCTTCGAGTGGAGGACTTCGGGGTGCTTGCTGAGCTGGCTGCAAGCGAACAGCCGGTTGCAGACCCACCCTGGGAAGCTCAAGAAGATTATATGGACGGAGTTTAGAGCCCCCAAAGCTTTGTTGTAGTCGGTTGGGTCAGGGGTCTCGATTTCGGTCATGGAAGCGGAGACTGGTCTTAGGATTGGAACCCTAGAGGCCCTCCAGTCACGGACGATGTTCAAGGGGTCAACCGAGGGGTCTGCGCCCAACATCCCCAGAGCCTCGTCCGCCTGGTTCAAATCGCCAGCCACATCCGCCAAGCGCGAGGTGGGAGAAGGGTAGGCAGCATCGAGACGAAAACGAATTGCACCGGCAACACTTCGTCATTCCCCAACTGAACGCCCGTGAAACTGAACATTAGAATGAGATGCCCGGATATCCTCAGAAAAGCTGAACGAAAACCTCCAGGACCCTTCCAATAATTAGATCATTTGGTGGAACTTGCGTTGATCTAGCTGTTAGCTCGAAAAGTTTGGGGAGAAGGCGACGACGACGCCGCCAGCGCGAGAGTTCGGGCAGAACGAGGAGATGCGGGAAAAGGCTGAGTTGGCGGAGTAGACGAAATCCCTCCGATCAGGGGTGGTTCCGCGCGACTCCTGGACCGCGATGATCGAGCCAGGTTGCCAAAGGAACTTCTGCATGCCGAGTTTAAGGGAGCGGCTGCGGGCCGTCTGGTAGTGGAACGGCGCTCGAGCGCTCCAGGTCGCCAGCTTGACGAGTGTCCGTGCTCGCATGGCGTCTGTCCAGTCCCGAAGAAGGAGGCTAGACGCACCACGAGGTGTCAGCCGCCTGCGTGCAGCCAGCCGTGACACTGTTGAGGATGGTCTCCTTGTCGATGCCCAGGACGCGGAGGTTCTCGAGGCAGCAGGTGAGCTCTGGCGGGGCCTCTCCCGCCCTACGGCGTGCGGATATGCCCCTCGAGCGCGTCGATGCGCGCTTTATGCGCGGACTGCTTGTTATCGACGAGGTGGATGCGGTGCTCGGCGCGGGTGTCGAGGTCATCCCAGCTCTTCGTGAAGGTGTTCGAGAACATTGCCATGGAGTTCTGCACGTTGGCGAGGGCCCCGATCATGGACTTCCTGAAGGCGCCCACGTACTCGCGAAGGCTCACAGCATCTTTAACACTGATGTTAGCTGCGATGCGGTGCCGCTTATTCGCATCATCGTTGGCAACGATCTCGGCGGCCTCCCGAGACGAGAAGGTCGCAACTGCATCCAGTTGAGCAAGGAGTGCAACAACATGTCACATGGCGAAGAGCCAGTGGCGAAAAAGATAGAGAAAAAAACAACTGCGGTCGGGGCCGACGCACAGCAAGTGCAAGAAACGGATACCTCGGGGGTCCCCCTGACGGTGGTCGCACAACGGCCGAAATCTCGGTTCGAAATCCCGCGACACGGATTTCGAGCCTTGAGCCAAAATGGCTACTGACATCCTCCTCCTCCTAGTCCTCCTTCTCCTCCTCCTCATCTTCCTGCTTCTCCTCCTCCTTCTCGTCCTCCTCCTCCTCCTGCTCCTCCTCCTGCTCCTGCTCCTGCTTCTCCTCCTGCTCCTGCTCCTCCTCCTCCTCCTCCTCCTCCTCCTCCTCCTCCTCCTCCATCTCCTCCTTCTCCTCCTCCCCCTCCCTCTCCTCCTCCTCCTTCTCCTCCTGCTTCTCCTCCTGCTCCTCCTCCTCCTCCTGCTCCTCCTCCTCTTCCTGCTCCTTCCCCTCGCAGGGTCTCCAGAGGCCCCCGGCCCTGGACTGTCTTCGTGGGCCTCTGGGAGCGCAGCAGTCCTGCTCATGGAGACCTAAGGTTTCTTATGATAGCTCAAAGGATCGAGGATCGAGGATCGAGGAACGAGGATCGAGGATCGAGGATCGATGGATCGATGGATCGAGGATCGAGGATCGATGATCGAGGATCGATGGATCGAATATCGATGGATCGAGGATCGAGGATCCTCGATCCTAGTCCTCGATCGCGAAGTCGGGAACGCTGTCATCAGGAACCCTACAAAAGGAGCGAGGCCCCCTTTCTCTATAGGTTCAACTTCGCTTTCCCACGGAAGACCTCAGGGAAACGGAAGCAACATGTAAAACACAAGGAACACTGAGCCCCTCCCCGACGAAAAGGGTTCCATCTTAAGCGGTCCGGCTCTAAGGTCAGGAACGCGTGCGTCGCGTGTCGCGGCGGCGGCCCCTGCGAGACGCTATGCCTTGCAGGCCAGCAGCGTGTCGTTCTGCTCCGTCGGATGGGAGGCTGCCAGAGACTCGGAAGGTTGACGCCTGGGCACCGGGACGCGTGTCAGCGTGTCGCGAAGAAGCGTGGTGGGCCAAAACCAGTGGCGCGACACGCCAAACCAACGTCCCTGACCGTAGCCGGACAGCGGAGGACGCAGCACGGCCTCTATCTCCAGCGCGATGTCCGAGTCTGGGGGGATTCCCCACGCCGGGAAGCCGGTCCTGCGGGGAGGGGGCCACATCGGCGTGCCTCCGACGCCGACAACGTCGAGGAGGAGGGGGACGACGACGACGACGACGACGACGACGACGACGACGACGACGACGACGACGACGCGGAGGAAGATGAGGCGGAGGAGTTGAAGGAGAAGGACGACGACGTCGACGAGGATGATGAAGCGGAAGAACAGGAGGACGACGATGGCGACGAGCGTGTCCCTGATCCCTCCCGCCTTGCTCGACCTCCTCCTCCTGCTCCTGCTCCTGCTCCTGCTGCTCCTCCTCCTCGTAAGCCCCCTATTCCATCCCAGTCTCCTCTTCCCCCCGCCTCCTCACCCTCTCAGGCTCTCCTGCGGAAGCGGCTGCGATCTGCGGTCCTGCTCTTTACGCACCAGCGAGATCGCAAATCTGGCTCACGAGCTCCCTGGGGGGGGGCATGCTTTGAGGCCTGGATGGCAGCAACCCTTTTCGTAAGTTTATGAATCGCCTTCTGGCCACAGTCTGGCGTGTGAGGGGGGGCTTGTAAGTTCCTTTGAACTTCAAACTTGCGGGAAGCCTGCAATCTCCAACACCCGCGGCGTCGAAAGCCGCACGACCCCCCGACAGAAAACGCAAGCTGGGTTTGGTGGCTGGGGTGGATATGCCAGCCTCCGTTCGGAATGCTGGCACTTCCCACTGGCCGTGGCACCACTGGCGCGGGCACGGGTGGCACGTACACGAGCTGACCACTGCTGCTACTACTGCCGCTGCCAGCCTCGAGAAACTGTGGGCGCAGTGGTGGGGGGCGGGCGCTGCCACTGCTTGCGTAACACTCGAACGTCTCGGACATTCCGTGTCCGCTTCGGTCAGTGGGTAACACTTGACAAATTCTCCTTCGAAGTCCGCGCGGAATTCTCGGATCGGCGCTGCACGCTGCTCAACCAATGCTGGAATGCTTCTTCCTTGCGCTGCAGAGGAAGCGACTGGGCTGACACGGCTGCCAAGTTCGGATCTGCCTTGCACCCCGATGGCCCATGTTGTGGCCGTGTCGAGAGCTGTTGCACAGCTTTTGGCCAGCATGATGCATCTCTGACCGCGCATCTGCCTGAACGGAATCCAGCTCGTCCCGAAGCTGAGAGTGGCGCCTGGCCCGCCAGCAACGCACGAGTGGGCGCTGGTCGTCAGGCCGCCTAACAGTTGCTGGCACTGTCCAGTGTGTTTGCGAGGTTCAAGCTCCGTCGCCAAGCCGCCGAGTTGAAGATGCACCAGGCACCCCAGGGTCAAGACACAGTCCTTGCGAGACCTGGGCCGTCGCTGTGCTGCGCTGGACTGCAACAACGAATCGTTTGTGCGCATCTGTCGGCGGTGTGGGTGCTTTGCCCCAGGCGAACGTCCCGCCAAGCGTTCGCCGTCACGCACGCCTCGAGCCGAGCCTCATGAGAGCGAGACCGGGAGGCGGCACGTCAAACGATTCCACCCCCAAGAAGTGTGGGGTCTCAGTCGAGCCGTTCTCTTTTTGCCCCATCTGGGTTGGGTCCTTGGCCGTTGATGTCAACAACTCCCTCACCCACCCCTTCCCTGTCCACCCCTCTCTCAGCGACGCCCTCGTACGAGGTTGAAACCACCACGGAGCAGACGCACATTGATATGCGAGCTGCCGGGGCTGCAGAACTCCGTGCCCCGTCGGGGCATGCATTGCCGTCCTTACCGTCTCGTCCCCTCGAGGCCTCCTCCTCCTCTTCCTCCTCTTCCTCCTCCTCCTGCTCCTCCTCCTCCTCCTGCTCCTCCTCCTGATCCTCCTCTTCCTCCTCTTCCTGCTCCTCCACCTCCTCCTGCTCCTCTTCCTCCTCTCCTCCTGCTCCTCCTCCTCCTCCTCCTCCTGCTCCTCCTCCTCCTCCTCGTCGGCAGGCTCTTCCAGGACTGCCCCGCTGGAGAGGCGGAGCGGGCCGACCTTCCCTTTTGACCGCGCCCCGGTCTCACTTCTCGGTGGCAGAAGTGGTGCACGTGCGCCCCCCGCCCCAAGACGGCACAGGCGTACCGAGCACGCCCCGCGCGAAGCCGATCATGCAGCAGACAGCCTCCCTCACTTACTGCTGCTCCTTCTCTGCTCCTCCACCTCCGCCTCCTCCCCTATCTTCGTGTCCGGCCGCCGGGCTGGCAGGGCGAGCGCTGGCTGGCGGCGGGCCATCGAAGATCAACGAAACATATCTTGCTGGGGGACTCCACGACTCAGCATGCTGGCTCAGCCTGGGCCCTGGGCAAACATCCCGCCTCGCGGCCTTCGCCCAATTGCCCTCCTCCTCCTCCTCCTCCTCCTCATCCTACTCCTGTTTCTCCTCATCCTACTCCTGTTCCTTCCCCTCCTTCTCCTCCTCCTCCTACTCCTCCTTGTCCTCCTCCTCCTCCTCCTCCTCCTCCTCCTCCTCATTCTCCTCCTTCTCCTCCTCCTTCCCCTCCTCACCCTCCTCCTCCGCCGCTCCTCCCCTCCTCCTCCTCCTCCTCCTCCTCCTCCTCCTCCTCCTCCTCCTCCTCCTCCGCTCCTCCTCCTCCTCCTCTTCCTCCTCCACCTCTCCTCCTCCTCTAACTCCTCCCTAACTCCTCCTCCTCCTCCTCCTCCTCCTCCTCCTCCTGCTCCTCCTCATACTCCTCCTCCTCCTCCTCCCCCTCCCCTCTTCGCCTCTCGCCCGATTCCTTCTCCCCTTGTGTTTCGTTTTCCTGTTCCTCTTCCTCCTCCTACTATCCCTCCTCTCCGGCGTCCCGTCTCTCATCCTCCCCCTTCTCCTCCTTCCCATCCCCCCTTATCACCCTCCTCATCGCCATCATCCTTCTCCCTGCTCCCTGCTCCTCCTACTCCCTCTGCCTTCATCCAATCCTCCTCCATCTACTCCCTGCGCTCTCCTCCGCCCGCCTCCTCCTCCTCCTCCTCCTCCTCCTCCGCCTCATTGCAGTGCAGCGTGGACTCGACATGTCCCTTCTTTCGAGGTCCTGCCGAAGGCCTCGTCGGCGGGGATGTGCAGCATTCGGAGCTCGCCCTTGCGGGAAGGTAGACTCTGAAACGCTATGAGCTCTCCCCAATCCCGCGGTAGAGGAGGAAGAGATGGAGGGAGAGGAGGAGGAGGAGGAGGAGGAGGAGGAGGAGGAGGACAAGGACGAGGCTCACATCTGCTCCTTGTACTCTTCCCATCGCAGTCCTCGTTCAAAACCATCCTTCTTTATTTGGGTGGAGCACGAAAGAAAAGTCCGCAAATGGGCACTGTCTGGGATGCTGCGGGTGTGGCACCATAACTTCAAACAATCAGGCCCGATCTGAAATCCGGCTCGATCTTGTTCCAAGGCTCCGCTGCGGCAGCATATGCTATTTCTTCGACAGTCACACATTCATTCCCCATCTGTGCTTCTACGTTGCGCCGACGTCGTTGAACAATCTCGTTGTCGGGCGTCCTGGCTTCCGCGCTGCATCGTATAATGTGGGGAGGGGAGCTCAATGCACACGTCTGACGCGTCACGTACGCTACAAGGAAATGCAGCGCAGAGCAATGCAACGCGCTACGTTGGATATGTAGCATCGCTTCGCGAAGCACAGCGCCGCCTGGCATATCATGGCATAGAAGCACAGAGTACCATCGTACGCCAGAGTCTGACATACTATGACAACAGAGCATGGCATCGCACAACACGCCATGTACCGGCAGATGATGGCAGACCGCTGCAAGGCATTGCGTGGCGACTCTCATCGTACCACGTGGCGGTATGGTGTATCAAGGGCAGGCGTACGTCACCTTACATTGAAAATCACGGCAGCATAGCATAGTCGGAGGTTGGGAGTAAGAGCGACATGGCCCCAACTGTGAAGTCGGTGTCGGTTTCGGTTCGTGCGGTGCGCGCGGGCGAGGCGAAGCTGCCTGAAGGCGCGGCGATGATGTGCTGGTCGCAGCTAGAACCAGATTGAGCCAATGTTACTCCCCCTAATTAGCCGTTGTCCGCGGTGGATGTCCCGTGGGTTGTCCAGAGTTTGTCCCGCTGTTAGTCCCATGGGTTGCCTCGTGTTCGCCCGCTGGGTTGTCAAGTAGGTTGTCGCATGGGTTGACTCGTGATTGTCCCGTGGGTGTCTCAAGACGAAATGCAAATCGAAATCCAATCGAAATGCGGAGCCAAACGACAATCAACATGCGAATGTACGTCCAGTTGAGATGGAAATGCAGACCGCCTTGCATGTCCAACCTGCAAGCACAAAGGCACGTCGAAATGGACAACTCGATTTCAAATGCGCATTGAAATTGGCATCGGAATTACTATCGATATGGCATCGCAGTTAGATCGGAACGTGCATCGAAATGCAAACTGGCATACAGATCCGATTGACATCCACATGCGCTTCGAATTGCAAGTTCAATTGCACTTGATGTGCATTTCGATCTGCAGCTTAATCAGCCCCACAACCTCATCACCCAAAGGGTGGCCAATGAGGTATACTTCTGAGCAGGGGGACGTAGGAAAGAAAGGCCTCTAGCAGAACCGGTGGTGCATGCTGAGTTTAGTCTGATCCTCCTCCTCCTCCTCCTCCTCCTCCTCCTCCTCATACTCCTCTAACAAGAGGAAGGCAGGACAGGCAGGAGGAGCAGCAGCAGGGAGCAGATAGCAGGAACGAACAAAATGGTGAGGGGTGGTGAGGGAGGGATGAGGATGCGGATGAGGAGGAGGAGGAGGAGGACGAAGGAGAGAAGGGGGTGCTCCGGTGCTCCTCCTCCTCCTCCGCCTCCTCCGACTCCTCATTCTTCCCTCCCCCTTCCCCACCCTGTTCTCCTCCCTCCCCCGCCCTCCCTCCAGTCCTCCTCCGTCCTCGATCGTATCTACCCCTCCTACCCCTCCCATTCAAATCGCTCACCCGACCCCTCCAGGGGTGCATTTTACACCGAAACCCAACCGTGGCGACGAGAAGCCTCAGGGAGGCCTACCGAGACTAGCGAGACGCGCTCCAAGCACTAAATTCTCGATCCCCCCTCTCTCCTCGATGGGGTGATCAGGAGGGGGGCGGGGATGAGGATGAGGACGGGGATGATGGCGGCGTTGGTGATGATGCTGGCGTGGACGGACTAGGATGAGGTCGGGCCGGTCCTCCTACAGGCGGATTCTGGAAGAAAAATGACCCTGCGACGCACCCAACCCATTTGCATCGAATCGAAAGAGACGTAGTCAATATTGGCAGGAACAACGACAGTGCAGGCGTGGCGATTTGTTGTGCAAGCTACATGGGATGCGCGCATGTTTCATGACTTACAGGACAGCGATCGACAGTATGAGGGTTGGAGCCCCAAGCTTGAAGAAACACGGGGGCGGGAACGACGGGCAGGAGAATGACGGAATTGTGGGGGCGGGGAGCCATCGCGGCAGCAGCAGCATGGAGAAGGTGACATGTGGTGCGAACGGCAAGCGGTCTAATCTCAATCTGCGGCGAGTGCCCCCTATTCTGGCCCCCCCAGCAGCCCTCGAAAATGGCAACGGCTTGGCAGATCGCAGCCTTCCAGAGATGGCGGAGTCTAACCTGAATCTGCGGCGACTACCCACTATGCTGGCCCCCCAGCAGCCCTCGAACGTGGCGACGACTTCGCAGATCGCAGCCTTCCAGCGATGGTGGAGTCTAACCTGAATCTGCGGCGACTGCCCACTATGCTGGCCCCCCAGCAGCCCTCGAAAGTGGCGACGGTTTCGCAGATCGCAGCTCCCCAGGGATGGCGAGGTCTAATCTGAATCTGCGACGGGTACACACTATGCTGGCCCCCAGCAGCCTTCGAAAGTGGCAACGGTTTCGCAAGATCGCAGCGCCCCAGGGCTGACGAGGTCTAATCTGAGTCTGCGGCGACTGCCCACTATGCTGCCCCCCCCCAGCAGCCCTCGAAAGTGGCGACGGCGTCGCAGATCGCAGCCCCCCAGGGATGGCGAGGTCTAGTCTGGATCTGCGGCGACTGCCCACTGTGCTGGCCCCCCAGCAGCCTTCGAAAATGGCAACGGTTTCGCAGATCGCAGCTCCCCAACGATGGCGAGGTCTAATCTGAATCTGCGACGGGTACACACTATGCTGGCCCCCCAGCAGCCCTCGAACGTTGCAACAGTTTCGCAAGATCGCAGCGCCCCAGGGATGGCGAGGGTACATTTGAATATGCGTCTTGTGCCCACTATGTTGGCCCCCGAACATCCATCGAAAGTGGCGACGGTTTCGCAGATCGGACCCCCCCAGGGATGGCGAGGTCTAGTAGGAATCTGCGTCTGGTACCCACAATGCTGCTCCCCCCCAGCATCCCTCGAATGTGACGACAGTCTCGCAGATCGCAACACCCCAAGGATGGCGATGTCTAATCCTGATATGCGCCTGGTACCCACGATACTGCCCCCTCAAGGATGGCGACAGTTTCGCACATCGCAGCCCCCCATGTATGACGAGGTCTAATATGAATCTGCGTCTGGTACCCACAATGCTGGCCCCCCCAGCAGCCCTCGAAAGCGGCGACAATTTAGCATATCGCAGACCCTCAGAGATGGCGAAGAAGAGGTAAAATGCAAAAGAGGAGAGGAGGAAGGAAGAAAAAACCAAGGGACAAGGAGGGAAGAGAGGAGAAGGGGCGCGGGAGGAGGACGCGACCACACTGCACTATTCAAAACGAGTGCCCAATGCAGGAGGGTTGGGAATAAAAAATGCCAAACAATTATCAATCACAAAGTCACAAGAACACGAAACATCGTTCCCCGACTATGTTCTGCAGTTTTCATCCTGTCATAGGCCCCGCATACGAATTCGAAAGGATTTGGAACGGCGAAGACACACATGTTCTGGTCGAGGACGAGGATACCCAGACGGCCAGGGTTGCTCTCCCCTGCGCGGCAGAACGGAGCGGCGACAGGCGGCCACAACATTGAGGTACCACTTGCGCCTCTCACATTCCACCCTGCGAGGCAGCACTCAGTCCTCCTCAGTGCTGTAGCTTGCCAGCGTGGACCCCAAATAAGAAGTTTGGGCACTGTGGATGTGTAAGCTTTTTGTGGCTTCCAAAGCCCGGATAGCGGTACAGTCCGAAGCGCGAGAAACATTTCTGGGAGACGCATGCAAGGACACTTGACAGGAAGCCTGAAGAGCTTGCAAGCTTGAGACAGGAGCTTCGAAGAAGCTGCGGGGAGACTTCCGGCACGCGTATTGGGACAGAGTAGGAGAACGCTTGCCGGAACGCGCTGCGAGTTCAAGCAAATTGCTGCGGGGATGCCCGCCCGGCGCCGGCAAGAGCTTCTGGGCCACCCTGCGCTGCCGGCTTCTAGCCTGAAGCCCTCTGAGCTCTCAGAGAGCTGTCTGGGAATGTGCTGGGCGAGGGTCTCTGCTGTCGCTTCTCGAAGAGCAGATGCGCGGCCTCGGAGTTCCCCCACGGGCGGCAGTGGGCCGGAACATGGCGAACCCTCGAGACACCCCCGCAGGCGGCAAGGTCAAGCAACGGGCCAGAACGTGGCGACTCCTCTGGGCACCCCCACGGGCAGCAGCGGGCGGTTCCCAAACGTCCGACGTCTCGATTTTGATCGAGACGCGGGCCCCCGACCTCCCGACCACTTCCCCGGGACCGGTTTTTCATCCTGAGTCGTTTTTTGACGGTTCCGAGGCCCGGCGAGAGCCCCGAGAGGCCAAAGATTCTGAAAAACCTCTGTCTCGACTTTTTCGAGACGCCCGAAGTCTGGGTATGCTGTAACGGGTGGCAGCTGGCCAAGACGTAGGGAATCTCCGTGCCACCCCCACGAGCGGCAACGGCGGGCAGCGGGCGGCAATGGGCTGGGCGGGCGAGTCCCCGGGGCACCCCCGCAGGAGGCAGCGGGCGGCCACGGAGCGGCAACGAGTGGGAACGCAGCGAAGCCTCGGGGCACACTCAGCAAGTTCTTTAGAGACACAAAGAAACCTTCAGTGCAAGCACTGCTTGGCAACGAAGCACTGCAAGCGCGCAGTAATCAACACACAACTTCAGATGACATCCATCTACCGAGCTGCGCGCGCACACACATACACACGAAAGAGGAGGAAGGAGGAGGAGGAGGAAGCGAACGAAGAGGGTAATGAAGAGGAGAGGAAGGAACAACAAGTGCCCTTCGTCGCCTTGAGCATGCCGCGGACGCCGTACTCCCAGCCAGTGATGAGGCTGCCTTCCCTGTTATGGCCGACTGAGTACGTGAGGGCATCCGGCCCGTCGTCCAGCGTCGACCAGAACCTCTGGCACTTCTTCTCCTCCTCCTCCTCCTCCTCCTCCTCCTCCTCCTCCTCCTCCTTCTGACTGGCTGGCTCTGCGGGTCGGTTGGAGTCAGAAGGCGCATAACACCTCAGAAAACGTGCAAAAACACACACTACAGGCAGAGAGGCACCAAGCAAGCGAACTGCTCGCTGACACTGCTTGGACGAGGGAGGAGGCGGGAGCGAAGGAGGAGATCAATTACTGCACGGGTGCCAAGCATCACGCGCTCTACTTCAAGCAGGGCCCATCGTGCCGCCGCTGCCGTGGACGACGGGCTGCGAGCCTCGACCCGTGCGTCCAGCATGAAAGCAGTAGCTGCTCAGCCGCGTCCTCCGGGTTTTGGAGGCCGCGCTCGCCCTGCCGATATGAAAGATGAGGGTCGGTTCGTCCGGCCTTCTCCTCCCCCTGCTCCTCCTGCTCCTCGATCCTTCGATCCTCCACGATCGATGGATCGAGGAGCAGGAGGATCGATGAGGGAGAGTCAAGGATCGAGGAGGATCGACTGACACTTCACTTCTCCTTCTCCCCTTGTACGTAACCCTTCTCATCTTCCCCTTTTCTCTCCTTTTCCTCATGCTTCACCTCTTTGCCTCCGCCTCCCCCTCCTCCTCCTCCTCCCTTCTCCTCCTGACTATCCTCCTCATCGCTCCTCCTCCACCTCCTCCTCCTCTCCTCCGGCGGGTCGCTGTCCCGAAGCAATATGAGTTGGTGCCGGCACAACCCCACAGTGCGCGGCACCGATCTCCCGGAAGCAACCGCTGCCTAGTGTCTGGCCAGCGTGCCCGGTCACCAAGCAGCGGCCGCCCGAGGGGGGGAGGATCTGCGCCCGCTGGGGCCTATAGCAGGGCATAGCTGGGAACGTAGCCTCATCCTCCTCCTCCTACCCCCTCCTCCTCCACCTGCTCGGCCTGTCCTCTTCCGCCTCCTCCTCCTCCTCCTCCTCCTCCTGCTCCTCCTCCACCTCCTTGTCCTCCTTCTCGTCATCCCTCCCACTCCTGCTCTCCTTCCTCCTCCACCTCCACTTCCACATCCTCCACCTCTTACCACCTCATTCTCCGCCTCCTCCTTCCACAAGCTGCTCTTTGTGAATCCCACTAAGAACTTTGGCCAGAGGTCTAGTATTTCCGCTCGGAGTTTGCCATAAGCTACGCTTGCTGTGCTCCCTCTTGACTTTCCTCCTACGAGTGGTGTAGTTGCTGCCACTACGACTGATGCGTCTCTGCCACCGTTCCCACCACCAACTTCCACTGAATGACTTCTTTAGGACTTCTGAAGGCCTCCTGGGTTCCTTCTGTGGGCCTTTTCTGGCATCGTCGTTGTAATAATGTGATTCGATATCCTTCCCTCATGCTTTCTCTTCCTCTTTCTCATTCTCGCCCCACCCTGCGAATTCGTCCCCCAGCTCTTTTTGCGGAGGCGGCTTATCCTCAGAGAGCCTTTTGGGAGCCTCACGAAAGTGTTTAAGGTTCAAAAGCTTCTTGGGGACTTCTGGAGTCCTCCTGGGTTCCTCCTGGGGAACTCTTGGTTGGGGCTTTCCCGGGCCAACCTGCTTCCAACCGCGGTCTGAGCAATCGGGTCATGATTTGGAATGCTTTGGGGGGCGTCTTGGGGCCATTTTGGGCCGTTGTGGGGCTCTCTTCGGGCCATCGTGGGGCCTTCTAGGGCCGTCTTGGGGCTTTCTTGGTCTGCCTGGAAGCCCTTTGGGATAGTTTTGGGGCGATTTCCTTGGGCGGTCTCGGACGCCCAGAAAACCAAAGAACAGAGCATTCCCACAATTATGCAAAAGCTCTGGGAAACCAATGGTGTTCCTGCGATTCGAAAGCCTCTTGGGGGTCGTCTTTGGGTCGTCGTCGGGTGTCTGGTGAGTGTCTGGGGCCTCTTGGGGTTTTCGCGGCGCCGTTCGGCCGCGCTCCTGACAGATTACCCTGCGCATTTGGAAGCCCTTCTGCAGGGGCGTCCAAGAGACCCCCCCCAGGCCACGGGTCCGGGTGGTCCCGTTTTCGGGGGGGAGGGGGGGATTCCTCCCCCGCCCCCCCCCCCCGGATGGCAAAAATATAGAAAAGGGTGTATACCTACCTACCTACCGACCTACCTGCATACATGCATGCATGCATACATACAGACATACATGCGTACATAGATACACACGTGCGTACATACACACATACACACATACACACAAACATACATACAATCATACACATATTGCATTACATTACATTCCATTACATTACATTCCATTACATTGCATTACATGACATTACATTGCATTCCATTGCATTACATTACATGCCATGCCATGACATGACATTACATTGCATTTCCATACATTACATTACATTGTATTACATTACGTACGCCCATACATACATACATGCATGCATACATACATGTGTACACATACATACATACGTACACGCGTACGTACGGACGTACGCACCGACATACACACATACAGGCATCCATACATACAAACATACATACAAACATGCATGCAGGCATGCATGCATACACACATACACACATATACATGCATGCGTGCATGCATGCATGCATGCATGCATACATACACACACGCATGTAAGCAGTTACGCACAAGCACACCAAGCATCGGCGCTTCGCGCCATGCATTTTGGTCGTTGAAATTGGCATACAGACAAAAAAACAATCATATAAAACGGAATGTTTAACGATACATCGTTGTTGCCTTTTCTGGCATAGTCGTCGTAATAATGTGATTCGTTGTCCTTCCCTCATGATTCCTCTTCCTCTTTCTCATTCTTCGCCCCACCCTGCGAATTCGTCCCCCAGCTTTTTTTGCGGATGCTCATCCTTAGAGAACCTCTTGGGGGCCTCACGACAGTGTTTAAAGGCTTCGTGGGGGTTTCTGGGGGCCTCCTGCGTTCCTCCTCGGGACCTCTGGGGGCTTTCCCGGGCCAGCCTGCTTCCAACCGCGGTCTCCCTGAACGACCGGGTCACGATTTTGAATGCTTCGCGGGGCGTCTTGGGGCCAATTTGGGCCGTCGTGGGGCTCCCATTCGGGCCTTCTACTATATATATATATATATGTATGTATATATATATATATATATATATATATATATATATATATATATATATATATACGTCAGCCAGTATGACCGCCCCCTGAAATTTGTTCTTGTTCGGGTGTGCTCGCACCCGTCCTTTCGCGGCCTCGCTCTGAGGCAGCACCCAAAAAAGGACAGGCCACTAGTCCAGCGGCCTCGCGAGCGGTCCTGGCGGACCCCGCCAGGGGGGGCTGGCGCCCCTCCAGGAGCCACGACCACTCTCGAGGAGAGAGGAGAGGAGGAAACCACACTGCAGCTTGATTCTGCCAGGCACGAGCGAGGGCACGGTGCCGCCTTGATGTCACACGGAGGTGAGCCTCAAAGTGTTGCTCGGCCGTGCCAGGGATGCCCAGCTTTCGACAATTGTGAAGAGCAACAAAAGCGTCAACACAAGCAGCGAAGAGAACATTACACGACATTGGCGATGGTGCAAGCAGGAGGAAGGGGAGGAGCCAGGGCGAGCTCTCAGGAAACCACGAAGACGAAATTAACAGCGGACCAAGCCAATATCTGAAAATGGAAGCAAGCCGAGGACAACAGACGTAATGCTCAACAGAATCAAGATCGTCCTCCCCAAGAGCTGGGCATCCCAGGGCACAACCTGCGGGACGAGATTTATATCTCTTTCAAGTGCAACGGCCACGACAGAGGATACGCATGATTGCCACTAACATGTACGGCTGAGTTTTCATCAAGACAAAGTAGAGCTGATATAGAAACGATCCAACTGCTTTAGAGATATATCTGGAAACCATGCCTAAATTCACCGGAAAAGCGTACGGCGAGGATCCTCCTTCGCAAGCGACCTATCCAGCATCATCTCATATAGACGAGCCTGCAGGCGAGGAAGATCAGTGCGAAGCTGTGATGGGATACTATAGTACCAAGAATGCAGCTCAAACATGTAATACAGAAAACTTGTCTTCCAATGTCCTGCCCTCGTACGAACAAAAACATGTTCGGGATGATCCTCTAGAGATCGAAGGTGTTCAAAAACAACACTTATCCCATCGTTTCTAATCATATACCGAATGCATGTCGCTTTAGCTAGACAAGCCAGGTCCACAAACTCGATGGGCAGGTGCATCTTCCGAAGCTGTGTACATAAGGAATGAGAGAAAGAGTTCCTGGGGGCAGCCGTGAGGAACATGACCGATTCACGATGACACTTAAGAAGTTCACTAGAGATAGGATGAAGCTGAAGGATGAAAGAGAGGGCGGAGACGCACATCACGCGAAAGACGACGGCGGCCCGAGTAAGCCCTAGACCAAATTGCCGAGTGACTCCAACTCTAAGCCTGAACTTCGGAAGAGCCTCCGACCATGCGTGCAGATGAGCGAGCGGGCCAATGAAGGCCCCCAGATACTTCGCGCACTTCACTACCTGCATCAACTTAAAATCACCCTTCAGCGCGGCAATCGACTCTCGCATCAGTGGTAAGTCCAAGTTAACCGTAATCAAAATCTGACACATTTTGAAGTTCAGCACCAATCCCGCAACAGGCTCCAGAAGTTGAAGGGACCGAAGAACAGGACCCAGGGAGTCGAAAACGTTCAACAACCCAAAGCAAAAATCATCCGCATATGCAGACGCACGGTCTATATGAGAACTTCGTTTAGCCTTCGCCCATCTAGGAAGCGGATCCACCGCCAATGCAAAGAGCAGCATGCTAGATGGACATCCCTGTTTGACCCCCGTGCCCATCACAATCTTCCCAAACCTCTTCCCTCCCAACACACTAGTGGCAGACTGCTCCTGGCACAGCAATGCAAAAAAAGGCGACGACAGCGGGGCAGATCCCCATCTCCCTCAATACATGCAGCAGCCACGGGATAGCCAGTGACGGAAATGCGGCGCAGAAATCCGCGAGCAAGAGGCAAGCCTGTTCGTTCGCAAGAACGTGTTGTTCAAGACACCAGGCCTCCGCATCAACAATGTTAGTGGCCATATCTTGATGTTTCAAACACTTCTGGTCCGTGGAAACAAGCCTGGCAGTATTAACCGAGAGGGGGATGGACATGGCACCAGCAGGGATTTTGACGTCCGCGTTGGACATGCTCAGGGGGCGGGTTCCTTTAGGACCACGAGAAACGCCAGGACCATTATTCCGAGAATCAGAGCCCCTGGGGCGAAAGACCATGAGGATGTGGCACATATCAGGCGGCAGCGACGCAATATTCTCATTAAAGAAGCAGTGGTAGATGTCGTAAAGCGCGCGCGACAGCCGGCGCCGCCCAAGCTCCGTACGGGATGCCGTCCGGCCCTGGCATGCTGTGGCAACGCTTCCTAAGATACTCGAAAAGCTGAGCGTAAGTAAGCTGCCAATCAGTAGGGAGCTGCTCAGGAATCTTCTGGATGTGCTCCGAAATCTCAGGCCAGAGGGTCCTGTCGAGCGCCTTCGGGGAGAAAACCTGAGACCAATACTCCTGCAGGACCTGAGCAGAGCCTGCCAGGGGGTCACAGGGGGGCCCGTCGGGAGCATAAACACACGCGACATAAGTACGACTTCTGAATCGCCTCCAAAACGCTTGAAACCTCAGGACCCTGTCTTTGTTGTTCTGCTTGGTCTCTGGGGAATGGTCAGACTGCTCTATTTCCAAATTCTCCTGATCAAGCAACTGCATCTGGATAGACCGAATCAGAGAGCAGAGCCCAGCTACGTTCGTGCACCTAAACGTCGACATGTCAAAGTGCATGCCTAAGGTCGGGTAAGCCTTGATCGCGTCACCAATCATCCCAATCCTCCCAAACCTCCATCCCCTCAAGGCGCGCGTGGCCCAGTGGTGCTTCAACTCAAGCGTGGTGGCAGGGATCGTCTTTATATACTCGCGCACGTGCTTCGAGGTAATAAACATGAGAGGCTTAATCTGCCAAGGCGATCCCAAGCCGTGAGATGCGGACAATCATGATCAAGTTCGGCAATCAACTTCTCCAGGTGGGCAGCAAACTCTTCGCGCTTGCAGATGCGCTTGGGAATCGTGGGGAACTCAGAGGACGGAGAGAAAAGGGGATAGAACAGTAAAGACGGGAATGTGGTCGCTCGGAGACTTGGGCAAGAGTTTGCCCACAACTCCACTACGAATGTCGTAATCTCTCAAGATCGCCTGCGGCAGCGACGCGTACATTCTATCCAACCTCGAAGTGTGAGCAATAACCCCATCACGAAGCTCCCTCCGTGTATCGCGCTCTTGGTGGGTTTCCGTATTCGTCGGAAACAGGCGGTGAAAAAGGCGCGAATGAGGACGATCACCCTGAGACCATCCACTTCCATCACCTCTCAGCCCCCCCTCCTCCTCCAACGCAAAATTGAAGTCCCCAATCAAGATCCTATGAGACGCATGCGCAGCGTCGTGCGCCGAGCGGACCGCCCTCAACATATCCGAGTAAACCGCAAGTGCGTCGCTCGTGTCGGGGAGGTGCAGATTGAAAATCGCGAGGCTACCTGAAGGGCCAGAACAGGTGGTTTGAAGAACCCGACCAGCAAATAACCCACGATGGCGAATCGCGGTGAACAACTTGGTAACTTGCGGGCCCAAGACAGGTCACCACCCCACCTTTTCTTTGAGAATCCCCAAACATAGAAAAACCGATGTTGTGCCCAGGCTGGGGCCCATCCAGCTCCCTGCGGAGCTCTCCAATATCACCAATATGACCGTGAGTTTCCTGACCACAGACAATCTGGAACCGACGGGCGAGAGAGGGGAAGGACTGGTACCTGGCTCCAGAGCGCCAGGACGCGCTACGAACACTATTAAATAGGCCGCGAGAGTTCCAGCTGCACAAAGACAGAGGCACAAGAGGGGAGAAGGGCAGATACTTGAGGGGAGGAGGAGGAGGGCAAACATCACCAATGTCGTGTGCAGAAGGATTCTGACTCTGAGGCAACGGACAGTAAGCCTCAGCGCCGAAAGGGCGTCCGAAGCTGGACAGAGGCCGCACCGCGGAAAGCGTCAGCGCGCTGGGAGATGCCGAACTCGCGGAGGGCGTCCAGCTCGAGCTCCATCTCAACCTTAGCACCATCCTCGGACGTGCGCAGCTGCGCCAAAATGATGGGGTCACTAGCCTGCTTTAGCGTGTAGATGCATCCGCCAAGGCCGTTGCTGTTGACCTCGTAGCCGCGAGTCCTGAGAAGGTCCGGCATGGCCGCCCTAACTTTGCCCATGGATAGGAAGAGCTGCCGATGCTTCGCGTCGATGTCGCGGCGGATGCGGAGCGACAATGGCGTAGACGAAAGAGGGTCGGGGTGAGTGAGAACTCCCGCAGACCCAAACTGGGTCAAGAAATCACTCGCAGCAGAGGCCGACTCGAAGTGGAGAGCCACCTTGCGCGCGAGGTCGAAGGCCTTGATCGTGATCTTCTGGTAGGTGTGTGTCGGGGCGAACTGCTGACGGGCGGCCTCACCAACACTACGTAACGTGGTCGCGAGCACCCTCCGAGGAAACCCAAGCATGAGCAACTTTGCGTTGTTCTCTTGGCTCCGCTCCGTTGCCAAAGATGGATCACTGGCAGACGAGCGAGCGTCAGACGGTGGCCTCGAGAGCTGCTCGATCCTGGCCTCGATGGCCTGGATCTTATCCTGGACCGAGGCGTCCATCGGCGTGTCCGATGAGGAGTGCGGGGTCGGGGTGCTGTCCATCTCGGAAACCAATCTCTCGACAAACGTCATGCGTTCCTGCAGCGATGGGCATGCCAAACTGTGCTCCCCTTCAAGCTGGCAGAATCGCGAATGAATGTCGTTGCCCATCGTGGTCATATGAGTGGTAAGCTGGTCACAACGCATCTGGGTGAGCTCCATCTGGGACTTAACCTTGGAAAGGTCATTGGCCGAGGAAGCAACTTGGACTGACATCCCTTGCAGCGAAGACATGATTATGTCGAACTTATCGTCCTTAGAGAGGGAAGCTGGAGGCTGACGACGACCACACTCCCGACCAGAACGGCTCTTCGAACGAGACGAGCAGAAAGACGAATCCCGCCTCGCAGACGACGGCGACCTGCGTGGGCTGCTGGTGACACGGCGCTCCCCACGCCCTGGCATCGCAGCAGCAGTGTGGACAAGATAGGTGAAGAGAAAGAGATCGAGAGTGTCGCAGCTCCTGGAGATTTCTCGAGCCTCCCCTTCGGCAGCGACCAAGGTTCAAACCACAGGGGACAGGTTTGAGCCTTGAGCCAAAATGGCTACGGATCCCATTCCGGCCATCTTGGGGCCCTCTAGGGCTGTCTTGGGGCTTCCTTGGACTGCCTGAAAGCCCTTTGGGATGGTTGTGGGGCGATGTTCTCGCCCTCCAGGGCCGTCTTGGGGTTCCTCTTGGACTGCCTGGAAACCCTCTTGGTCAAATTTGGGGCGATCCTCTGGCCTCCTGGGCGGACTCGGACGCTCGGAACACCCCAGAAAAAAAGATATTCCCCAAGCTTATACAACAGCTATGGGAAATCAATCTTGTTCTGCGTTTCGAGAGCCTCTTGGGGGTCTTCTGTGGGTCGTCTTCGGGCGTTTGGTGGAGTCTGGGGGCCTCTGTGGGCTCTCGCGGGGGCGCTCGGCCGCCATCCTGACGGATTTGGGCCCGCTTCCTGGGCCCAGCAAGGGCTTCAGGAGCCCTGGACAGCACAAGGGACCGTGCAAGGGCGTCAAAGGTGCCCCCGGGGCCAAGGATCCGAAGGGTGTCCGTTTAGGGGGGGGTCGCAGGGTCCCAGAGAATAAAACCATAAAGAGGAAGGGAACGTATTGAGATCGGCATGTAGGTAGTGATATCGATGTACCTACATCTGTTAATGATAGAGGTCGTACAATTGCTATACACAAAACTGTTTATGTAAATATATGCGAGATCGGTAAGTGCATAGTGATACAGTTAAGGAGATGTGTATACACGTGCAAATACTGATCGTGGTAACACTAGACAGAAACACCTGCAATCGGTAAATAATTATATAAACAACGATGTGCATCTATCTCTCTCGCTCTCTCTTTTTATATGCATATACATACATGTATATGAATATGAGAGAATTCGGGTATCCCCGCACCTGTGAACAAAAAGCGCCTGGTGAAGCCTGGTGAAGGTTTTAGTCAGGTTTTCTGTAGAAGGTTTCAGGAACCCTGGATTGTTCCAGAGGAATGTTTACGACGACTTTTTGTGTGAAAGGTTCCAGGAATCCTGTTTCTTCCTGAGGAAGGTTTTAGGACGTTTCTAAACTTAAAAAAAAATCAGGAATCCTGAATTCTTGTTAAGGAGGCTTTAGGAAGGAACAAGGTTTCGATGGGAGTTTCTCTGTAGAGGCTCTCAATAGGAATCCATTTTGTGGAGGCTCTCAGAAGGAATCCTTTTGTAAAGGCTCTCAATAGGACTACTTTTGCACAGGCTCTCAATAGGAATTTCATTTGTATTGGGTTTCAGTAGGAATCCTTTTGTATGATCTTCCAATAGGAACCTTTTCTGTGCAGAGGCTCTCATTCGGAATCATGTTGTAAAGATTTTCAATAGGAATACTTCTGTAGAGGCTCTCAGTGGAGGCTCTCAATAAGAATCCTTTCGTAGAGGCTCTCAATCGGAATCCTTTCGTATTAGCTTTCAAAAGGAATCCTTTCTGTAGAGGCTGTCATTAGGAATCCTTTTGTCGAGGCTCTCAACAGGAATCCTTTTGCACAGGCTCTCAATAGGAATCCCTTTGTATTGGGTTTCAATCGGGATCCTTTTGTTTTGGCCTTTGATAAGGATCCTTCCTTTTTCGCAGAGGCTCCCAATAGGAATCATGATGTAGAGGGTTTCAATAGGAATACTTCTGTAGAGGCACTCAAAAGGAATCCTTTTTGTGGAGGCTCTCAATAGGAATTGCTCTCAATAAGAATCCTTGCGTAGACGCTCCCAGTTGGAAGGTTCTAAGAATCATGGAATCCCTGGGGTTTCCTGGGTGCTCCTGGGGCTCCCAGAATCTTCTGGGCATTGAGCAACCAAAAAAAAACACAAGGAACAACAAAGAACGACACGAACCAACCCAAGGCTGAACAACAAAAAAATCAATGAAAACAAACAAAAAACATCCAAACAACGTTTGCAACACTTTCTTCGTGAGGGCGGCGGGGATGGAGCAAGTCTTGAATTGTGTTTGTGGTTTTTCATTGTGTTTGTTGGGTTCTTCAACCCTGTGTCGTTGGTTTCTTTGTTTTTTTGTTGGTGTTCTTTGTTTTTTTTGGGGGGGTCAGTGCCCACGCTCCTGCAGGAGGAGGAGGAGAGAGAGGGGGGGAGGAGGAGGGGGAGGATGAAGAGGATGGGGGAGGGGGAGGCTGCCACGCTCCTGCAGGAGGAGGAGGGGGAGGAGGCGAAGGGGATGAGAGAGAGAGAGAACGAAGAAGAGTGGAGGAGGATGAGGAGGATAGATGGGATGCTTGGGAGAGGAATGTGTATGATCATGTGTGTGTGTGTGGGGGGGGGGGGGGCGACCATACATGCTCGCCCCCCCTCCTCCCCACATGACAATACCGTTTCGTGGTTCGTATTATTAGTCTTCTTTTTCTTATTCGTATCCTTCTTCCCCTGCGTTGTCTTAGTTTTCTTCGTATTCATCTTCTTCTTCTTCTTCATATTCTTATTCGGATTCTTCCTCGTTCTTTCGTAGGCGTCGTCCTCATCGTATTCCTCGCCTGCTGCTGCCGCTCGTGCTCCTTCCTCTCATGAGGAGAAGGAGGAGGAGGAGGAGGAGGAGGAGGAGGAGGAAGAGGACGAGGACGAAGAGGAGGAAGGAAGACAGGAATGGGAATATACGGAAACATGGGATGGAAGAGAAAACATGGAAAGGGGAAGCAATCGCATGCTAATCCTTTTGTTTTGGTTTTCAATAAGAATCCTTTTTTCAGAGACTCTCAATCGGAATCCTTGAGTAGAGGTTTTCAATAGGAACCGTTTTGTAGAGGCCCTCAGTTGGAATCCTTTTTTAGAGGCTTTCAATGGGAATATTTTTGTGGAGGCTCTCAACAAAAATCCTGTTGCACAGGCTCGCAATAGGAATACATTTGTATTGGGTTTCAATCGGGATCCTTTTTGTGTTTGGCTTTCAATAGGAATCCTTTTTGTAGAAGCTCTCAATGGGAATCCTTGTGTAGAGACTTTCAGTAGGAATCATTCTGTAGAGGCTCTCAATGGGAATCCTTGTGTAGATGCTCTCAATCGGAATCCTTTTGTGGAGGCTCTCAATACGAATCCTTTTGTAGAGTCTTTCAACAATAATATGTTTGTATTGGCTTTCAGTCGGAATCCTTCTGTATTGGGTTTCAATAGGAATCCGTTTGTAGAAGCTTTCAGCTGGAAGGTTCCAGAAATCTCGGATTCTTCCCGAGGAAGGTTTTACGAAGGTCTTCTGGGAAGTATCCAAGCTCCTGGATTCTTCCGGAGGAAAGCTTTAGGAAGGTTTCCTTTGTTGGGAGGTTCCAGGAATCCTGGATTCTTCGTGAAGGTTTTTTCGTGGGTTCCCTCCTGAGTCCCCTCCTGGGTTCCCTCCTGGGTCCCTTCTTGGGTTCCCTGCTGGGTCCATTCCTGGGTTCCCTCCTGGGTCTGTTCCTGGGTTCCCTCCTGGGTCCCTTCCTGGGTTCCCTCCTGGGTCCCCTCCTGGGTTCCTCTTGGGTCTGTTCCTGGGTTCCCTCCTGGGTCCTCTCGTGGGTTCCCTCCTGGGTCCTCTCCAGGAGCCTTCTGGGGCCTCTCTAAGGCCTCTCTGTGGCCTCCTGGGGCGTCCTGGGGCATCCTGGTGGCGCCGGAGGCCGTCCGCCCCCCACGGAGGAAGGAAGGACGGGGGATGAACAACCAACGAAACCTAAGGAAAAAATGCTCCGACGGTAGGACCCCGCACGAGAATCTGTTTAGCTTCCCCTTAGCCCTTCCCTCCTCCCTCTGGCGGACACTCTCCTCTCGCCTTCTGCTTTTCCCTCTCCTCCTCCTTCTATGTATCATCGCCCTTCCCCTCCTTTTCCTCCTCCTCCTCCACCTCTTCTTCATCATCGCCCTCTCCGCATACCCCTTCCCTCCTCCTCATCCTCCGCCTGCCTCTTCTCCACGTGCACCTCCCCGCCCCCCTGGTCGGGGCACGCAAATCGATGTTCCTCGGCGCCCTCGCCGCCACGGCAATCAGGCGCGCGTTTGCCGACGGCTAGATCGCGAAGCCGTTGGGGCAGCCCCGCGAGCCGCTGGGGCGCGAGAGCAAGCCGTTGGGACAACCCCGCAGGCACCGAGCTAATCGCGGCCGGGCTCAGGCGGGAGGCAGCACGAAACCCAGCTCTGCCGCGAGCTGCTCCGCCTCGGCCCTGGAGCCCACCGCTCTCTCGTCGAACTCCTGGAGCGCCTCCCGCAGGGGCGCCGGCGGCCCGCGCTCCAGGAACTCCCGCGCGGGCGGCCGCAGGATCAGCATGTTCCGCGTGCACGTGGCGCGGGAGAACATGACGTAGAGGTGCAGCCACCACTGCTCGTCCGACATGCCCGTGCGGCCAGCGCCCTCGCCCCTGGCGCAGTCGATGGTGACGCCCTTGCGCAGCGTCGGGCCCTGCGACAGCGCGGGGGCCAGGTAGGGCGCGCGCGCCAGCGTGAACCCCGAGCGGCGCGGAGTGTGCGCCCCCGAGCTCTGCCGCGTGAGCTCCTGCTCGCTGGGCCTGAACATGGGCGAGCTCCTCGCCCGCGCCTCGGCCTCGCCGTCGTCGTCAGCGCCATCGGCGCGCTGCTGCAGTACCTCGGCGACCTCCTTGTAGATCGGGGACTCCTGGAAGCCGTGCACCTGCAGCCAGATCCCCTGCGGTAGGGGGCGGAAGAGCTGGCCAGGCGCGCGCTCCTCGTAGTCCCGCTCGTCGTCTGCGTGAAACTCGGAGGACACGATGGCGGCCCGTTGCTCCTGCGCGAGCCCCAACCT